AATAGCTTATCTGCAACAAAATTTTTTATTTTTAAATAAAAAACACATCATTTTTAAACTATAAAATAAAATTTATAAAAATGAAAAAATAAACTTATTATTTCTTTTATTATTGATGTAAATAAATTGTTATTTTCCTCAATAGCTAATAAAAAAAGAAGTTTTATTTCATAATAAATTTTTTATTACATTAATCTCTCAAAATAAAAAAAATTGATTTTATTTTTTGAATATTTGAATTCAAAAAATAATTTTATTTGTAATATAATAAAAGGAATAAATACCTAGATAGGCACAGTAAATATTTGAAAAAATTAATCAACTGCAAAAACAAACGGTAATTGTTTTTAGCTTAAATTATTATAAAAAGTTATAAATTAAATGTAAATTAAAAAATAATTAATTTAAAGCAAATTTAATTCGACGAGTATGCTAAGTTTATTCTAGAGAACACCAATGAAAAAATTATACAAAAAGATTTTCAAGCACAATTTACAAAAGTGGAAGTATTATCTAATCTGCTGAAAAGTCTCTATGAAAATAAAAAATATACGAATAATTTTCAAATTCTAAGCTTTGGAAGCTTTGGAATGGTATTAGCTACTAAAAAAGCTAAACTTGATAAAAAAGAAATAGTGTTAAAAATACAAAAAATAGAAGATGAATAACATATCTAAAATGAAATTAGTATTATGTAGAAATTAAAAGAGCCACTAGTGGTATAGCTTTATGATAGCTATATAATAGAGAATAAAATAGGACCTGATAGATACTCAGTCTTTGAATTAGAAAAATGCTCATGTAATTTATTAAATTCTTAATATTTATTTTAATTTAGGTTTCAATTAACTACTTATGAAGATATTTTTATCATATAAAACCCAATTTTTAATAAATAAACAAATGAATAAATATATTTTTTTATAAAAAAGAATTTAATTTGTTTTTTAAATTTAAAAAAAATAAAAATTTAATTTATAAATTGTAAAAAGAATTATTTTTAACGAAAATAATTATTATACTTTCATTATTTTGAAAGATTTTTAATATAAAAATGATATTTAAAAAATATATTTGATTACATTTTACTTTTTATTTTGTAAAAGGTTCGTTAGATGAATATCTTGATAGATAAAACAAAGATGGATAATTTAACGACGATGATAAATATTAAATAGCGATCTAAATTATAGATTCTGTTAATTATATTCACTCATTTAATATCATTCATAGAGATATTAAACCAGAAAATTTTTTGGTTTATTTAGATGGAAAATAACCAGAAATAAAATTATGTAAACTATTTTTATGCATAAATTATTTTTCATTATCTTTTAATTTTAAGGTGATTTCGGCTTATCTGCTTAGATTCCAGATAATAAAGATTCAATTCAAGCTATAGAAGTAGATTTTTAATTTTATATATATTAAATATTAAAAATAACTTTATATATAGAGCATAGGTAATTTAGGATATTCAGCACCTGAAATACTAAATAAATAGGATAATGAACTTAAGATTTATTCAAAGAAAGTACTTTTTTTATTAAAATGTTAATTTTAAATAAATTTTTTTATTTTAGTCGGATTCGTATTCAGTAGGATTATTACTAGCTTTCTTAGATAATTATTAAGATCTGAAGAAAAATGCACCTTTTACTTTCTTATTAATGACAAAAAAGCAGTTAGATAAGCCTTTCGAAAAATCTAAGATTAAAATTAACAAAAATTCAGAAATTTATAAATTTATTAACCTTCTTGTTGTTTCTGATAGTGGTTAAAGAGCATCTCTGTATGATATTGTTGAATAAAGCGATACAAAATTCTTAACTAATTCAAAAGAAATGAAATAAATCGTGCAAAAAACTCTTTTGGTGCAAAATGATAAAAAAATAGAGCAAAATACGACTATAAAAATTAGATCTATAAAGGATTTGAGCAAAGCTTAAAATTACAATATTGTCGAAATATATTTAGAGTAATATTTTCATTTTAATTTAGGTTTTTAATATTTTATTAATGATCAATTTAACACTTTTTAAAACTATTTTATTGATAATCTTTTCTCCTTAAAAATTAGTTTATTAAAGTAAGTAAATTATATTTATATTTACTAACTTAATTTTTTAAATAATGGTAAAATTCTATTATCAAAAGAGAAAAAATGTATTTTTGAAAATTTTTTAGCTCTTTTTTTTTTTAATAAAAAAAGTAATAAGGCTACATATTCTTCAAATTTAAATACCTGGATTAGCAATATATAAAAAATGATTATTTTTTTTTAAATTAATAAAAAATTAAAGTTTAAAATAAAAATTAAAGACTAAATGAATTTAAAAGTATAATTCATTCTGATAATTGAGTATAATTCATAATATTTAAGTTTCATTTTTTTTGTTAACTAGTGAATTGTTCATGAAAATTAAATATCTATAAAATTACTTATTTTCTATTAAGATTTATTTATAAATTCATTATAAATTATTTATATTTATTTAATAGAATTAAGTATTTTTTAATTTTTACATTAATGCTACTTATATAGCAAATGAATTAAGAATTATTAATTTAATGGTTTTAATTATTTTTAATCCTTCAAAAACATATTAAAAACTAACAAAAGCAACAATATTTTTTTTATATACTCCTCAAAAGAAAATAATCAATTTGTTAACTTATTTACTTACTTACATACTGAGTTACTTACTCCCTCCTTCAAAAACAAACGAACATACTAACAAAAGCAACAATATTTTTTTACAATCCTTTCTCCTCCAAATTTATTTTCTTAATTCATTATTTATTCATATATTTAAAGGTCAAATAGTATTGGTGATGAGGGTGCAAAAGATTTAGGCACAGGAATAGCGTAGTGCAAGAATATCACAAGTTTGACAATTGATTTATAGTAAAAACTTAATTTATCGATTGATAAAGCAAGAAATTTTGAAAAAATTGATTATTTTGTTGATTTACGCTTTTCACTTAGTGATTAGCTAATTAAGTCACTTCGTTAGTAAGCAAGTTAGAGTTAGTTAGTTATTTATTTATTTATTAGATTGCTTTTTTAATAACTTACTTACTCCTCAACTAAAAAATAATCAATTTGTTAACTTAATTACTTAATTACTTACTTACTTACATACTGAGTTACTTACTCCCTCCTTCAAAAACAAACGAACATACTAACAAAAGCAACAATCTTTTTTTACAATCCTTTCTCCTCCAAATTTATTTTCTTAATTCATTATTTATTCTTATATTTAAAGCAATAATAGTATTGGTGCATAGGGTGCAAAAGATTTAGGCACAGGAATAGCGTAGTGCAAGAATATCACAAGTTTGACACTTTCTTTATTGTAAAAACTTAATTTATCGATTGATAAAGCAAGAAATTTTGAAAAAATTGATTATTTTGTTGATTTACGCTTTTCACTTAGTGATTAGCTAATTAAGTCACTTCGTTAGTAAGCAAGTTAGAGTTAGTTAGTCATTTATTTATTTATTAGATTGCTTTTTTAATAACTTACTTACTCCTCAACTAAAAAATAATCAATTTGTTAACTTAATTACTTAATTACTTACTTACTTACTTACTTACTTACTTACATACTGAGTTACTTACTCCCTCCTTCAAAAACAAACGAACATACTAACAAAAGCAACAATCTTTTTTTACAATCCTTTCTCCTCCAAATTTATTTTCTTAATTCATTATTTATTCTTATATTTAAAGCAATAATAGACTTTTTGCATAGGGTGCAAAAGATTTAGGTACAGGAATAGCGTAGTGCAAGAATATCACAAGTTTGACAATTGATTTATAGTAAAAACTTAATTTATCGATTGATAAAGCAAGAAATTTTGAAAAAATTGATTATTTTGTTGATTTACGCTTTTCACTTAGTGATTAGCTAATTAAGTCACTTCGTTAGTAAGCAAGTTAGAGTTAGTTAGTTAGTTATTTATTTATTTATTTATTTATTTATTTATTTATTAGATTGCTTTTTTAATAACTTACTTACTCCTCAACTAAAAAATAATCAATTTGTTAACTTAATTACTTAATTACTTACTTACTTACATACTGAGTTACTTACTCCCTCCTTCAAAAACAAACGAACATACTAACAAAAGCAACAATCTTTTTTTACAATCCTTTCTCCTCCAAATTTATTTTCTTAATTCATTATTTATTCTTATATTTAAAGGTCAAATAGTATTGGTGATGAGGGTGCAAAAGATTTAGGCACAGGAATAGCGTAGTGCAAGAATATCACAAGTTTGACACTTTATTTATTGTAAAAACTTAATTTATCGATTGATAAAGCAAGAAATTTTGAAAAAATTGATTATTTTGTTGATTTACACTTTTCACTTAGTGATTAGCTATTTTATTCAAAATAAATTTTTTTATTTATAAATAAATTTAAAATAGTAATTTTAATAAAGAAAAAAATGATTTTATTAAATATATTTAAAACAAATTGTTTGATAAAGATACATTTAATATATAAAAACTAATAGGAATAATCAGATTTCTCAATCAAAAGAATAATTCGAAAAAATATTAAGAGATCAATTAAAAAAATAAGAAATAAAAGTAAAATTAATAAGATTATAAAATAAAATTAATATATTTATTTATATAATTAAGATATCGATATATTTTTGAAGGACTTAAATACACTAATTAATTAAAATTAAAATAACATTTTTTTTATGACTAAAAAATAAAATGTATATTTTTAGTAAATTTAATTGAATGTGATTAAATAACATAATCTAACTTAGTGAAAAACATTATAAATAATGAATACAATAAATAAAATGGATAGTTCTTTATAAAATCACATAGAAATTATTTAGCAAAAATATATACATATAAATAAATAAATGTTTATAAATTTTATACATTTTTAAATAAATTTGGATATTTTGTAATAAATGAAAGCTAGTTTTTATTTTAAATACATAGACGCTGAATTTAATTTTTAATAACAAAAAACCCGTTTTTATTTTAAATATTCAGATACTGTACTTTATACATTAAAAAGTTATTTAAGTAGGTATTAAACGCACTTATTTGGTAGATACAATATATATATATACCTATATAACATGTGTTGCAAAAAAAAAAAACTAATGTGATTAGAGAATAATTAGAGATATTATAAATATTTCTATAATTAATTACAGATCTAAAACAGAAAAATCTACTTATAAACCTTATTTTTATAAAATTTAAGAACATTAATTAAATACTAGAATTTTTTCAAATATTATTAACTAACGGCCATCTCTAATTCCTATTATATTTTTTTATTATATGTTTTAAATATAAATATTAAGATTAAATAATGAATTTTAAATTAATTTTTCTGCTATATCTCTTCATAAAACCAAATTAATAATTTAATATTTAATAATTTTTATTTGTTCTTTTTATCCATTTATAATTAATTAATTAATTAATTAAATTTCATAAACTGCTTTTCAATATTTTTGAAAAAAATAATAAATGATATAATAGATTAAAGAATATTATTATTTAGAAGAAGTAATTATTAATTTTTTTATTAATATCCTTTAAATTTATATAAATGAATAAAAAAAGTTTTTAAGCTCTTCTCTTTTATCTCATTAGGTTCTCTATATTGATCTCCAGTATATTTTATTTATAATTATTATTTTTATTATTATTAATATTTTTTATATATTTAACTTTCAATTTATTTAAATAAATAATTTTTGTTATAGATATTATCATAATTATTCATTGATTTTTATAAAAATAAAAATTTTCAAGCATAAGAACTTAATTTTTATTTCAATTTTAAATTACTTATTATTCATTTTTTATAATTTGATATATTTTCTTCATTTTTTGCTATTAAAACTTACACTTAATAAAAGCATTTTATTACTTTTTGATTGTAATATTTTTAATAAAAATTTAAAAGATTAAAGCTCTTTTAATTTAATTTAGTTTATTTATTTTCCTTTTTCTTTTTATTATGATTTCTTTTTTTTTCATAATCTTATTATTTCTTATTTTCTCTTTCATTTTTTCCTTCCAATTAACTAGAGTGAAATGTCTATTTAATTTATAAAAAGTGAAATCTAATATATATTAATAACATAATAAATAAGCTAAATTAGCTTAAATCAGCTTTATATTTGAGTTTTTAGAAAGCTTTAAATTCACAAAATGTACAATTTCAAATATTTTCTAAACCCCATATATTCTTATAATATATCACTTTTTTGAAAAAATAAATTTTGAAAAATTCTACATAGGATAAAAAAAAATTTTGAAAAAAAATTAAAAATTTTAATTTTATAAAATGTAAAAACACAGTAAATAAAACTCGCTTTTTACTAATTTGTATGGCAACTTACTCTATTTAATGATATATTTTTTCTTTAATATTTAAAAATTAGGTATTTAATTGGTGATGAAGATGCATCAGGCTTAAGTTCAGCTTTAGCAAATTGCATTAATCTCTCAAATTTGACACTTGATCTTCGGTAAAAACAGTTTATTTGTTTTGGATTAAGATATTTTTAATTATAAAAGCTAATTAAAAAAAATAAAGTTCTTTTTTCTATTTTTTTTATTGTGCTTGCTTTTTTTTGTTCTTTCTTTGTTAATTTAACTCATCATTTTATTTTCAACTTTTGTTTTTATTATTAATTAATCTTATTATTTCTTATTATTTCTTCATTTTTTACTTCTAATTAACTATTTATTAATATATTTTTCTTTCAATATTTAAAAAGTTACAATAAAATTGGTGCAATGGGTGCATTAGGCTTAGGTTCTGCTTTAGCAAATTGCATTAATCTCTCAAATTTGGAACTTTACCTTAGGTAAAAACAGTTTATTTGTTTTGGAATGTGATATTTTTAATTATAAAAACTAATTAAAAATAATAAAGCTCTTTTTTCTTTTTCTTTTTATTGTGCTTGCTTTTTTTGTTCTTTCTTTGTTAATTTAACTCATTATTTTGTTTTCAACTTTTGCTTTTATTATTTATTAATCTTATTATTTTTTCTTCATTTTTTCTTTCTAATAAATATTTAATGATAAATTTTTTTTCAATATTTAACAAAGTGAAAATTAAATTGGTGATGAAGGTGCATCAGGCTTAGGTTCTGCTTTAGCAAATTGCATTAATCTCTCAAATTTGACACTTGATCTTCGGTAAAAACAGTTTATTTGTTTTGGATTGTGATATTTTTAATTATAAAAGCTAATTAAAAAAAATAAAGCTCTTTTTTCTATTTTTTTTATTGTGCTTGCTTTTTTTTGTTCTTTCTTTGTTAATTTAACTCATCATTTTATTTTCAACTTTTGTTTTTATTATTAATTAATCTTATTATTTCATATTATTTCTTCATTTTTTCCTTCTAATTAACTATTTAATGTTATATTTTTTCTTCAATATTTAAAAAGTTACAATAAAATTGGTGCAATGGGTGCGTCAGGCTTAAGTTCTGCTTTAGCAAATTGCATTAATCTTTCAAATTTGAGACTTTGGCTTCTGTAAAAACAGTTTATTTGTTTTTGATTGTGATATTTTTAATTATAAAAAATAATTAAAAATGAAAGCTCTTTTTACTTTTTCATTTTATTGTGCTTGCTTTTTTTGTTCTTTCTTTGTTAATTTAACTCATTATTTTATTTTCAACTTTTGCTTTTATTATTTATTAATCTTATTATTTTTTCTTCATTTTTTCCTTCTAATTAACTATTTAATGATAATTTTTTTTTTCAATATTTAACAAAGTGAAAATTAAATTGGTGATGAAGGTGCATCAGGCTTAAGTTCTGCTTTAGCAAATTGCATTAATCTTTCAAATTTGACACTTGTTCTTGCGTACAAACAGTTTATTTGTTTTGGATTGTGATATTTTTAATTATAAAACTAATTAAAAACAATAAAGCTCTTTTTTCTTTTTATTTTTATTGTGATTGCTTTTTTTTGTTCTTTCTTTGTTAATTTAGCTCATCATTTTAATTTCAACTTTTGCTTTTATTATAAATTAATTAATCTTATTATTTCATATTTTTTCTTCATTTTTTCCTTCTAATTAACTATTTAATGATATATTTTTTCTTCAATATTTAAAAAGTAAAAATTAAATTTGTGCAATGGGTGCATCAGGCTTAGGTTCTGGTTTAGCAAATTGCAGTAATCTCTAAAATTTGGCACTTAATCTTAAGTAAAAACAGTTTATTTGTTTTGGATTGTGATATTTTGAATTATAAAAACTAATTAAAAATAATAAAGCTCTTTTTAATTTTTCTTTTTATTGTGCTTGCTTTTTTTTTGTTCTTTCTTTGTTTATTTAACTCATCTTTTTATTTTCAACTTTTGTTTTTATTATTAACTAATCTATCTTATTATTTCATATTTTTTCTTCATTTTTTCCTTCTAATTAAATATTAAATGAAATATTTTTTCTTTAATATTTAAAAAGTGAAAATTAAATTGGTGCAATCGGTGTATAAGGATTAGGTTTTGCTTTAGCAAATTGCATAAATCTCTCAAATTTTGCACTTGATCTTGGGTAAAAAACAGTTTATTTGTTTTGGATTGTGATATTTTTAATGATTAAAACTAATTAAAAACAATAAAGTTCTTTTTGCTTTTTCATTTTATTGTGCTTGCTTTATTTTGTTCGTTCTTTGCTAATTTAGCTCATCATTTTATTTTCAAATTTTGGTTTATTAATTAATCTTATTATTTCATATTTTTTCTTCATTTTTTCCTTCTAATTAATTTTTAAATATTTAAAAAGTAAAAATTTTATTGGTTATGAAGGTGCATCAAGCTTAGGTTCTGCTTTAGCAAATTGTATTAATATCTCAAATTTGAAACTTTGGCTAAAGTAAAAACAGTTTATTTGTTTTGGATTGTGATATTTTTAATTATAAAAACTAATTAAAAACTGATAAAGCTCTCTTTTTTTCTTCTTTTTATTGTGCTTGCTTTTTTATGTTCTTTCTTTGTTAATTTAACTCATTATTTTATTTTCAACTTTTGTTTTTATTAATAATTAATCTTAATATTTCATATTATTTCTTCATTTTTTACTTCTAATAACTATTTAATGATATATTTTTTCTTCAATATTTAAAAAGTGAAAATTAAATTGGCGATGAAGGTGCATAAAGCTTAGGTTCTGCTTTAGCAAATTGCATTAATCTATCAAATTTGATACTTGATCTTGGGTAAAAACAGTTTATTTGTTTTGTATTGTGATATTTTTTATTATAAAAACTAATTAAAAACAATAAAGCTCTTTTTTCTTTTTATTTTTATTGTGTTGCCTTTTTTCGTTCTTTCATTGTTAATTTAGCTCATCATTTTATTTTCAACTTTTGCTTTTATTATTAATTAATCTTATTATTTCATATTTTTTCTTCATTTTTTCCTTCTAATTAACTATTAAATGAAATATTTTTTCTTCAATATTTAAAAAGTGAAAATTAAATTGGTGCAATCGGCGTATCAGGCTTAGGTTCTACTTTAGCAAATTGCATTAATCTCTCAAATTTGACTCTTTATCTTGGGTAAAAACAGTTTATTTGTTTTGGATTGTGATATTTTTTATTATAAAAACTAATTAAAAACAATAAAATTTTTTTTTCTTTTTCTATTTATTATGCTTGCTTTTTTTTGTTCTTTCTTAGTTAATTTAACTCATCATTTAAATTTCAACTTTTGTTTTATTTATTAATTAATCTTATTTATTATTTCATATTTTTTAAACATTTTTTCTTTCTAATTAAATATTTAATGATATATTTTTTCTTCAATATTTAAAAATTATTAATTAAATTTGTGCAATAGGTGCATCAGTTTATAATTTTTGGATTTAGATATTTTAAACTATAAAAATGAATATAAAACAAAAAAGCTCTTTGAATTTATTTGATAGCTTTTATTTGATTTATTTTTTATCTTTTTTATTCCACTAATGCTATTATATTTATTAATTAAAGAAATAATTTTTAATTTAAAAGTTTATTCTATTTTGATATTTATTTAAAATTTACACAAATTTATTATAATATTTTTAGCCCAATGAATGAATAACAAAGATTCAAAGTAATAAGCAAGTGTCTTAAATCAAAAAGATTAGTTGTCTTTTAAAAATTATTTTGGTGATAAACAAGTGGCCAAAAAAGGATGAATAAAATAATATTAAATATTTGAATAACATTATATATATTATTTATAACATTTTGAAAAAGTTTTTTTAACCAAAAATAAAAATAGATAAATAGATTTTATTATTGATTTTATATTTATAAATATCATTCATATTTATTTTTGTAAGTATATTAATTATTTATAAAAAATAAAAAATAAAAAATAAGAAAATTTAAAATTAAATTTACTTAAGCACCCAATATATTCGAGTAGTTTATGAAATTAAATTTATGTGTTTCGTTTTTTTAAGGTTTAAAAAAAAGCACATATATTTAATCCCACTATAATTGTTAAAACGAATGAGTTGACCACTTTTAATTTATAATATTCATCAAAATCAAACAATGAATAAAATGAATAGAGGAATAACTAAAAGATATTTGGTTAATAATATAAATTGAATAACTTTCTCATAAAACAAGATAATATATAAATTTTATTTTATATAATCAAAGCTAAAATAAAAAACACAATTAATTCTTTAAATTAATTTTGGGTGTTAATATATATTGAGGTAATTAATGAAAGTAAATTTATGTATATCGTTTTTTTTAAGGTTAAACAAAGCAAATTAATCTTATCCCTCTATGATAGTTTATTGTAAATTGCATAAGTAAAGAAACCATAACTATTAAGATGAATGAGTTGACCACTATTAATTTGTAATATTCATCAAAATCAAGCAATTAATAAAATAAATGGAGGAATTACTAAAAGATATTTGGTTAATAAAATAAATTGAATAACTTTCTCATAAAACAAGAAAGATAATAGATAAATTTTCTTTTCTATAACCAAAGCTAAAATAAAAAATGTTGTATTTTAATTATTAGTAATTTATAAGCCGCAAACTTCTTACTATTATTTTCATCTAAAAAGCTAAAAAAATTAAATTGCCATCCTAAACAAGTGACAATATTATTTAATTTAAAAGCAAGCAATTTTTATAATATTTCGCAGTAATAATTTTAGATTATTTTCTTGTTACGAATCATTTGATTTTTAATTTTAGCTATTTTTGATAATTAATAATATTAAGAAGTATTATCGCTAAAAATTTAATTAAAACAAAAGGTTATTGAATTTTCTGATGAATTACTAAATGTGTCAATTTTCTAATCGAATTAGCATTTACTTATATAAAGTCCTTTTTTTCATAATATAAATCTGTTTTCTATATGTTCATACAAACATATATTGAAAAGGCATCATCAAAACCCATATTTTATAAATGATTAAATTAAAACAAATTTTTCTAAATATTAGTATTAAGATAAATCTAGTTTAGAATGCATAAATTTACTATTATTCTTTTGGCTTGTCTTGTTGGTATAGTCTATTCTGAATCTTGGAAATCTAGTTATTCAAGCACTTCCGACTTTGTATATTCATCTACAAACACTATAAGTTCTGTGAATTTCTCAACTTTACTTCCATCTATTGACTCATCTTACTAAGCTTACACCCATCAAAGTGGACCTCTTGGTTCAATGGGACCACTTGGAGCTTTTGGTAATGTTTCTACCTTTTTTTGATATTAAGCTCAAATAAAACATTTAAAAATCTTATAAAATAAATAAAATATAACATAAAAATTAACTTTAAATTTTATATAATATTCTAAGAGTATTATAATTAATATATTTTAATTCATAAATTTTAATCAAAACTTATAAATTTTAATTCTTCACTTATTTATCATCTCTTTCAAAAAGTCATAAAATTAATCAAATATTAATAATCTTATTTTAAACTGTAAAGGTCCTCTTGGGTTACTTGGTCCTATCGGTGATAATAGTTGGAATGTATCTAGAATGATCAGTGGTATTGACTGGAGCTCATACTCATAATTCATTACATTAAAAGGTGGTCCTCTTTCGAAAGATGGTCCTCTTGGATACAAAGGTCCTTTAAATCCTGATATTTACACTGGAAAAATTGAACCTGGAAAAAGTCTTTTTGCTAAAAGTAGCTTTGCCTAACATTTGAGAGGACTTGGTATTTTCTCTACTCTTGGTCCTATTGGACCTCTTGGTGCTCTTGGTCCCTTAGGTCCTCTAGGTCCTATAGGTGGTCACGGTTTCAAAGCTACTAACGATGGATAATTTGTTAATAGCCAAGGATAAGTCTAAAGAACTGTTACTGTAGATTATGATGGTAAAACCAAAAGAACTTATAGTCTTTTTGAAGCTTATACCTCATAATTCGCTAAAAAGAACCCTTAAGTTCTTGACACTAGTTTTATGATTCTAGGTACTGTTAATGATTTTGATTCTAGCAAGTTGGAGAAATACACTTTTATTTCTAATGATGATCAAATAGTTACAATTGTTGTAGTTCCTGAAAAATCTCTTGATGATTTTTCTCTTGGAGTTTATGATTAAAATGGAAAATTAATTGCTACTTCTGATAATTCTGACTTAGTTGAAACCATCACTTTAAAAGCAAAGAAGGGATAAAAGCTAACAGCCTCTATTAAGCTCTCCTCAAGTGCCTAAATTTTTTCAAAAACATACAGACTTATTGTAACTGGGTCTACTTCATATTTAAATATGAATGAAGCATCTGGAAATCATTTAAGTTAATATTATCAAGGCCCTTAATCAAATAAATTCGGAAAAAATATCAAGGTTAACTATCTCAGAAGCGTTTGAATTAATTATAAATATTAAGCCAAAAATATTTAAATATCTCTATATTTTATATAAACTTTAAATAATAATTTCTATTTTTATAATAATTCTTATATTTCATGAATAATTAATTAATTTTAAAGATATCATTCAAAATTAAGTTTTTATAATTTAAAAACTTTAAATGCATCAAATGATTTAAAGGATAAATTGCATATAAAAGCAAAATGGTTTTCAAAAATTTGGTGATGTAGAATTATTACTTTTAGAAAATTATTAATTATATTTTTGTAAAATAGATTTTGAATGATATTAACTAAAATAATATTATTAAAATCATATTTTATTTTTTATAAAAATTTTTGTAATACAATTTCATTATTATAGATGATATTGGTATTTTAAATTATACTTATATAAAAATTGGTTTTATGATAGTCTACATACTTTTTTTTATTTTTAAATCATAATTTATCAAATAACCTGCCTTTATTTTCAAATCATGTATGTACAAACATTTTATTTTTCTTAAAAACAATAATTATTATATATAGAATGACTGACTGACTACCCATCTCTAGTTCCTACTATATTTTTAAGTGTACATTTTAAATAAAAATATTACAATTAAATTATTAAAGTTACACTAACTTTTTTGTGATATATATGACTAAAAATAAATTTATAAATTCATATAATTTATTTATTCTTTTTATCCACTTTTTATTAATTAAATTTCCATTAATTGCTATTCAATATTTAAAAAAAAAAATAAATGATATAACAAATTAAATAATACAATAAATTAGAAGAAGTAAATATTTATTTTTTATGAATATACTTTAAATTTATTTAAATTAATATAAAAAGTTTTTAAACTCTTCACTATAATCTCATTAGGTTGTCCATATTAATCTGAGGTATTTTTAATTTATAAATGTTATTATTATTAATACTTTTTCTTTAATTAACTTTCAATTTACATATCATATTTTTCATAGAAATTCTCACCTATTTTCATTGATTTTGTTAATAAAAATATTTTTTAGTTATTTAAACTTAATTTTTACTTTCAATTTTTAAAATTTATTACCCATTTTTTATTATTTGATATTTTTTATTCATTTTTTATTTGAAAAATAAATTGTTGTTTTGGATTGTGATATTTATAAAAATGTATTTAAAACAATGTAACTCTTTTAATTCGTTTATTAGCTTTTTATTTTTCAAAATTTCTTAATTTAACTCATTTTTTTTCTTTTTCTTTTATGATTATTTAATTAATTTCTTATTATTCATATTTTTTCTTAATTTTTTCCTTCTAAGTAACTAACTAATTAATTAATTTTTAATTTATTTATTTTTTCTTAAATATTTAAAAAGTAGCAATTAAATTGGAGATGAGGGCGCATTAGACTTAGATTCTGCTTTAGCAAACTGCACTAATCTCTCAAATTTGACTCTTAATCTTGAGTAAAAATAGTTTGTTTGTTTTGAATTGTGATATTTTTACTTATAAAAATTTTTTTAAATAATTAATTTAACTCTTTTAATATGTTTAGTAGCTTTTTATTTGGTTTATTTATTTTTCTTTATTATTTTTATTTGTTTGTGTTTTTTTACTCTTCTATCTTTCTTAATTTAACTATTTTATTTATTATCAGCTTTACTTTTATTACAAATTAATTCATTTATTTCTATTTAAAAGGATGAATAAAATTGGTGTAATTGGTGCATCTGGCTTAGGTTCTGGTTTAGCAAAGTGTACTAATCTCTCAAATTTGACACTTGATCTTTGGTAAAAACTATTTATTTGTTTTGAATTGAGATATTTTTAGTTATAAAAAATAATTTAAAATAATATAACTTTTTTTAATATTTTTTTATTTGATTTATTTTTATTCTGCTCGTATTTTTTTCTTATATAATTCTTAATTTACCTGATTATTTTATTTTGAACTTTTGTTTTTATTATCAATTCATTTATTTATTTATTTATTTATTTATTTATTTATTTATTTATTATTATTTCATATTTTTTCTTCAACATTTAAAAAGGGGAAATTAAATTGGTGATAAAGGTTTACAAGCCTTAGGTTCTGATTTAGGAAAGTGCGTTAATCTCTCAAATTTGACACTTAATCTTAGGTAAAATAGTTTATTTGTCTTTAGTTGTGATATTTTTATTTATAAAAATGAATTTAAAACAAAAAATCTAACTCTTTTAATTTATTTATAAGCTTTTTGTTTGATTTATTTTTGTATTTCTTTTTTATTGTATTTGTGTTTTGTTTTTTTCATCTTTCTTAACTCATTATTTTATTTTTAACTTTTTCATTAATTCATTTCTTTTTCATATTTTTTCTTCATTTATTTTTTCCTTATTATTAACTAATTAAATTAATTAATTCATATTTTTTATTCAATAATTAAAAAGGGGAAATTAAATTGGTGATAAAAGTTTATCAGTCTTAGGTTCTGGTTTAAGAAAGTGCACTAATCTCTCAAATTTGACACTTAATCTTAGGTAAAAACAATTTATTTATTTTTAATTGTGATAATTTTATTTATAAAAATGAATAATTCTTTAAATTTGTTTATTAGCTTTTTGCTTGATTTATTTAACTTTTACTTTTTTATAGCAGTTGTGTTTTTTTCTTCTTCTATCTTTCTTAATTTAACTTATTTTTTTATTTTTTACTTTAATTTTTATTATTAATTAATTCTTTTCTTATAATTTTTTATATTTTTTTCTTTATTTTTCTCTAAATAACTAATTAATTAATATTTTTTCTTAATTTTTAAAAAGGGGAAATTAAATTGGTGTAATTGGTGCATAAGATTTAGGTTCTGCTTTAGCAAATTGCACTAACCTCTTAAATTTAACACTTAATCTTAGGTAAAAGCAATTTATTTGTTAGGTATTGTGATATTTTTAGATATAAAAATGAATTTAAAACAAAATATTTAAACTCTTTTCATTTTTTAATAAGCTTTTTATCCGATTTATTTTTCTTTTTTATTTTACTTTGTTTTTTTCTTCTTCTATCTTTGTTAATTTAACTCATTTTTTTACTTTTAATTTTTGCTTTTATTTTTAATTAATTAATTCATTAATTATTATTTCATATTTTTTTCTACATTTTTTGTTTCTAAATAACTAATAAACTAAATATTTTTTCTTCAATATTTAAAAAGTATGAATTAAATTGGTTAAATTGGTGCATCCAACTTAGGTTCTGCTATAGCAAATTGTGCTAATCTCTAAAATTTGACACTTAGTCTTGAGTAAAAACAATTTATTTTTTTTTGAATTGTGATATTTTTAGTTATACAAATGATTTTAAAACATTTTTGGTTTTTATTTGATTTATTTTTCTTTTTCAATTTTTTTGTACTTGTATTTTTTTCTTCTTCTATCTTCAATAATTTATTTTATTTTCAATTTTTACTTTTATTATTAGTTCATTTATTTCTTTTCATTTTATATTTTTTCTTCATTTTTTCCTTTTAAGAAACTAATTAATTTTATATATTTTTTTCAATATTTAAAAAGTTACAATTAAGTTGGTGCAATTGGGGTATCATACTTAAGTTCTGCTATAGTAAATTGCGCTTAACTCTCATATTTGACACTTGATCTTCAGTAACAACAATTATTTGTTTTTAAATGTGATATTTTTAGTTATAAAAATGAATTTTAAATTATATTATTCTATTAATTTGTTTATTAGCTTTTTAGTTGATTGATTTTTCTTTTTCAATTTTTTTGTACTTGTGATTTTTTCTTCTTGTATCTTCCTTAATTTATTTAACTCGTTTTTTTAATTTCAACTTTTACTTTTATTATTAATTAATTTATTTCTTATTACTTTATATTTTTCTTAATTTTTTCCTTTTAAGTAACTAATTAATAATATATTTTTTCATCAATTATAAAAAGGGGAAATTAAATTGGTGCAGATGGAGTATCAGACTTAGGTTCTGCTTTAGCTAATTGCTCTTAACTCTCAAATTTGACACTTAATCTTGAGTAAAAAATAGTTTATTTGTTTTGGATTTTGATATTTTTATCTATAAAATCAAATTTAAAACAATATAATTAATTCTTTTAATTTGCTTATTAGTTTTTATTTGATTTATTTTTCATTTTCTTTTTTATTGTACTAATTTTTCTTCTTTTTCTATATTTCTTAAATTAACTCATTTTTTTATTCTCAACTTTTGCTTTTATTATTGATAAAAGATAACTCATACTTTTTCCTTCTAAGTGACTAATTAATTAATTAAATATTTTTTCTTCAATATCCAAAAAGAGGAAATTAAATTGGTGCAATTGGGGCATCAAGTTTAGGTACTGGTTTAGGAAAGTGCACTAATCTCTAAAATTTGACACTTAATCTTTGGTAAAAACAGTTTATTTGTTTTGAATTGCAATATTTTTATTTATAAAAATGAATATAAATCAATTTAACTGTTTTAATTTATTTAAAACTTTTTATTTGGCCTATTTTTTATTTTTCATGTTTATTCTGCTAATATTTTTTTATTTATTAATATTAAATATTATTTGAAATTTTTATTCTATTTTATTTTTTTGTAATTTGCACTAATTTATAATAAAAGTGGAAATTCAATCGAAGAATCATAATACTTAAAAGTAGAAAGCAAGTGTCTTAAATCAAAAAGATTAGTTGTTTTTAAAATAGAATTCTTTTGGTGAGGTGAAAAAAGGATGAATAAATATTAAATATTTGAATAATATAAAATAATATGTTTTATTATATAATATTTTGTGATAATATAATTATATATATAGTAACCTGAGGTACTTACTGCCTTTTTCAAGACTACATATAAATAGAATATTAAAAATTAAAAATAAATAAAAGAAAATGTAATATTAATTAAAGGTTATAAATTATTAATTAGAGATAATGATAAAAATGTTATTTAAATTAAAAATTTATGAATAATTGTTTATATAAATGAAAAAATATGATGTAGAAATTATATTACAATACTATGAAAAAAAAAAAAAAAAATTATTTTTTAGATTCAAATAAAAATATATATATATATAAATTAAATTGTTTAGTAGGAAAAATAATTTAATATATAGTACATATAAAAAAGTTAAAAATAAATTAATTATTAATTTAATAGACTAATTAATATTTAAGTATTTTTAATTTATTTGGCAAAAGAAACAATACAAATAAATTCTTGAGTATGGTTAAAATTTTTTGAATTTGTATTTAAAACAGACAGATGTAAAAATTTAAGTAAATATGATTTTTAGTAGAATAATAAATGGATCAGTAATTGTAAAATTAATTTTATTTGATTTCTTGAAGCTTAATTTAAATTATAAAAGCTAAAGATAAATTATTTAAAAATATATAAAAATTTTAGAATAATACAAAGTAATTTAAAATATTTTCTTTTACTAAATTAAAAAGTGCTCATTTCCTTATTATTTTTATAATTACTTATCTAATAAAAAAATTACTGATTAATAAGAAAACAGCTCTATTTTAGATAGGTTTATGACTTAAGATTAATATTTATTTTTAGGATAACTAGACAATATATTCGTAAATACTATTACCATCTAATTTCGAAAAAATATATTTATAAATATGATTGTTTATTTATAAAATAAAAATTAATCTTATTTATTTATTTCATTTTTTTTTCATTTATCACTTATTTTTTAAAACATTTGTTAATTTTAAATAAATTAATAATCAATTTTTGTAAACTCTAATTCTAAATTTCCTTAGGCAATTTTTTTGTTTGATTAGATAATTATATCTCATTTCATTAAATTAATAATCTAAAATTTTGAGAAGAATATAAATTTTATTGGTTAAGATCCTCTGTATTTAGTTATTAAACAGTAAAATAGAAAAATAAGAATGGTTTATGAAAAATTTATACGTAGAAGATTATTTCAAAAATAGATTAATTATTTCAAATTACTTGCATGATTATTTAGTATTTGATTAATAAAAATATTCTATTTGTTTTCGAATTAGAGTAGTACTATCCTGCACTACTCTTGATTTGTAATTGAAAGATAGATAAAAGAAATTAAGAATATTGTAAACTGTAAATAAAAATTTGAGGAATCAAATAAACATTTTTAATAAAAATATGTTATGAAAAACAATAAATTAAATTACCTCAAATCAATCTCTCATCAAATTGAGTGATTTTAAAGAAAGTTTCGCTTATAAAAAATAAATAAATTCAATCTGATAAAAATAACAATGAAGAATTAGACATAATTTTATTGGTTAATAAAAATGTATATTTAAATTAAAATAGACATAAATCATCAATAAATACATTTGTTTGATTAATTTAACCTAATTTTTTATATTCATACTTATTTTTGGTTTGTTATTTTTGACTTTTTAATTCAATTTAATTATAGCCTTTCATTCTTCTATTTTAAAAATCCTCACTTACTTTGATAAAAAAAATTAAATATTTCCTTCTAATGATTATAAATATTTTGATCGGAATTAGAAAGAAAAGATTACTTAGAACTAGAACTATTGCAGCTAAATATTATCAAAACCAAAAAATTTACTTTTTAAAGCAAATTGCTTTATCTTATTAATTTTTACTATTTATATTATCATGGGCTATTTTAAGTATTCCTTTTTAAGGTTTCACTCATATTCAAACTCAAAGTGTTTGGTTTTTCCTTTTTTAAGTATAAAAACATTTACTTTCTGCTTAAAATAAATAATTCTAAATTACTGAATTTCAAAAACATTTAAATAAAGCTATCAGCGATTGGTTTGAAAGATGTCTTCTCAGAATCATATTTTTATTGTTTATTTGCTTTTAAAGATATAAAATAAACTTAAATAAATATTTATTAAGAAATTAGAAAACAATAAAACAGTTGATAAACGTTTTATAATACTTTCTTAATCAAAAAAAACTGTTCTGATCTTTTATTTTATAAAGAAAAAATTCTAGTTTTACTGAGCTTATTTTCTGCAAAAAATTATGAATTGGATGTCCTTAATAACTTCTTCATGATTAATAAAAGAATTTGATATAAATATGATTAAGCTTACATTAAGGAAATATGAGCAAAAGAAATATTTATTATTTATAAATAATATATTTTACTTTTATGAATTAAAATATTTTCTTTATTATTTCTTATAATATTCTAATACTTTAACACTTTTAAATTGTTCCGTTGTTATTTACTTATTTTTAAAACTGAAAAATAAATCAATCTAAGATGGCTTAAAAATGAATGCTTTTTTTGGCTAATACAATATTAGGTAGGAATAATCTATAAGGTCGTAGATCAAATAATTTTTTGTTTAATGTCTTAATTGAATCTCTATGAAATTAGTTTTATAGTATTCTATGTTTTCATAGTATTTGGTGGGGAGACTAATCAAATTCTTAACTATCACTGTCAGCTACAAGTAATATAAAAATCTTTTATATTAGTCAAAAACAAATTTTAATAAAAAAGTCATTCATCATTCATAGATTAATTAATTAATTAATTTCTTTGTGCTACCATAAAAAGTTTTACACTTCAATCTATTTTTTTCTGATTAAATTACACTTTTAAATTTAAAAACTTGGTAATCTATTTGGATGATAAAGAATAAAGCTTAAATAAAAGCAAATAATTAGAAATGAAATTCAATAAAAAAACTCAACTGATTTGTTCTGCATCCATCTTGTAGGGCTCAGTTCTTATGGCTTTTATGCTAGATCGGAATCAAAATACTGAAAAATTTCTCCAAATTACTTAAGTAGTTTTGTTTTTGATAACTATGCTCGTCAGCATAAGAGTACAGTCTTATATTTGCGTTTTTTACCTGAAATCTTAATTTACTTTGAAACGATTTCTTTTTGCTTTTTTCTATCATTCTGAAATTATCATGGAATCAGATAAATATGACATTCTTGACTCTTCAGGCTTATTTGAGTAGCTATTATAGTTCTTAAAGGTCTTTCACTATTTAAGCTTATCATCTTAATTCATAATTCAATTAATTTGGGTACAAATAAATATAGAAAGATGTAACTACTTTTTTTACTTTATTCCTTAGATAGTCTGCTTTTTAATCCTAACAAAACAGCTTTTTTTTGAAAATATGAAGCACAACATCAAAAAAGTATACTTTCTAATTCTTTTAATTAGCGATATTTTAGGATGGAGTGTTTTTCTTTATGGAATAGTTTAATGTTAAAACATTTAAAGAATTTACATTTACTTTATTCCTTTACTTATCCCCTGCTTTTTTAGTAAATTATATGCTTTTTAGAAAGACAGGCTGACTAACTTTGTTCTAATTTAGTGTCTATTTTCTATTTATCCAACTTAGATTTTGATGAAAAAAAAATCTGAATCAGAACAATCAGAAAAGTAGTTCAATAAGATCACATACTACTTCAAAGTGTACTAATCTTTTCTTAAGGCTATTTTCTTTTTTAGTTGCTAGCAACAAATAATTGGATTATGTATTTTACTACTCGCTTTTAATGAGCCCATGCTTATTAAATTTAAACAATTGCTATTGAAATTTAGAAAATTAGAAGTTAAAGATATCTAAAATCTAAAAAAAATTAATAAGGATGTTATTTTTTAGTAAATACAAATAAAGAAATACTCGAAAGTGAACTTAAAAATCCCATTCACCACAGAAAACTAGTACGAAACTGTGATTTCTTTGCTATTTTCTTTTGGTGTAAGCGAAGTAAGAGACAACTATGGTAACTCAAGAGTCTCTCAAAGTTCTTTTCTGATTTCTCATAGCGGTTAAACAGTGACTATTAAGTGCTTATGCAATAAAAATTTCATTAAGTACTTTTACCAAAAGCTCATTTCTATGCAGTCAATTTTTATTGAGAGAAATTATTAAAACTGGTAGGAAACAATGAAAAAGCTTATAAATTAATTGAATTTGAGCTTATCACATTAAATCCATTCAATTTATGTATCATCTTTGGCAGATACTAAGAGCTACATAGATCATTGTAAGTTCTTTTTGTTATTTACTAACCAGATTCAGCTATTAAACTTACCTGAATAAATCCAGAATGTCCACAATAGTTATATTCTTAAAATTAATTAAGTGATTTTAACGAATATTGCATTTGACAACCTAATAGCAGAATTCTAAATAACCAATCCACATATAATATTTTATTCTCTCTTTGAATGAAAAAAATAAAATAATTATAAATAAATAAATAAAACTTACTATATATTACAAATTCTACTCTATATTAAATATTATATATATTCTATATAAAAAAATATATCAACACATTATAAGAATAGACATTTTTCTAATAATATGTTCATTAAAAACAAAAAAGTATATTATTTATTTATTATTATTATTATATTTAAAAACTCTAAATAATCATATAAAAAAAAATTTAATTATTGCAATAACTTTTCCCATTCTCTTTGGATAGTAATTTTTTTTTTTTGAAAGACTCATTCATTTTATAAATGACTGAATACTGAAAATTCAAGCAAAAAAAATAACAAAGCAGATCTAATCATACCTAATTTGAAGCTTTTATATAAACTCACTTTCATTTTTCAATCTACCTCATTAATTTTATCTAAAAATTGCTTTAACTTATTTTATAGTGTAATAACACCTTTAATTTGTGTTTGTTTTGTATAGTTATATAATAAATTAAACTATTATAAAATATAAATTCTATACTAACTCAGAATTTCAAAGCATTACAATTAATTTTATTAATTTTGACTTTTAAAAATTAAATAAATATCTATTTATATCACTCTGTTATTCATATTGTATGCAATAAAAAATAAGGCAATAAAATTTTTTATTTAAAACATACATCATTATTTTTAATTAATTTAATTAAAACAGTTCTCAAAAAAATATTTTTTGGATTAATTTATTGCTTATATAAGTAAAAAGTAAATAAATCTAAATTTTTATTTTGTTAAAACTAACATTTTTTTAATTAATATAGATACCTTTAGGAATATGAGATACATTTGATTTTGTTATAAAGTCAATTATAAATTATATTTTATAAAAAATAAAAAATTACACAACAATAAAAACATCTTTGTTAATTCAATAAAATTGTTAAAAACATCAACGATTGATAAAAAATATAAAAATAAGTATTGAATTTATATAGAAACATATTTTTAATTAAAAAAATTATTAATCAATTAGTAATAAATTCATCTAATTAAAAAACATAAATTATATTTATTAAAAATAAAAAATTACACAACAATAAAAACATCTTTGTTAATTCAATAAAATTGTTAAAAACATCAACGATTGATAAAAAATATAAAAATAAGTATTGAATTGATATAGAAACAAATTTTAATTAAAAAAATTATTAATCAATTAGTAATAAAATCATCTAATTAAAAAACAAATGATACAATAAATAAAATAATTTCGTCGTTATGAAGATGTAAATATTTTATCAAGCATCTTTTGATAAATATTTACTTCAACAATAAAAAAAGTTTATTAAATCTGAAGAATTTTTACATACAAATCTAGATATTGACATAACGTAAAAGAATTAAAATATTTATTGAATTATTTTATTATTTTTAACCATTTAATATTTTTAAGTGAATTAATTATAATAAAAATATTTTTTATTTTTAAAATGAATAAATTAATAACAAAGTTAATATTAATGCTTTTTATTTCATTCTTATATTATATTAGTACCTTTCTCCTAATTTTCTATTTCTAAAAATATTTTCAAAGATTTATCAATAATTCATTTTAAATATCTTAAAAGGAGCCAACACATTTACGAAGAAGGAGCATTAATTTTAGGTTAAGCTTTAGAAAAGTATACTGATCTCTAATTTCTGAAACTCAATCTATGGTATATGCAATAAATAATTGTTTATTTTTAAAAAATAAAATAAATCAAATTAATATTCAGTTTATTATTTATTGATTTGCATTCATCATCCATAGCTTACTTTTTCACTATGATATTTCTTAAATTGTTTCTATCTAACATTTTAATAATAAGCTGCTGTTATATTGGATGTAAGGGTGCTTCAGGTTTAGTTAGTTACTTGTCTAAATGCACTAATCTCTCGAATTTAAATCTCAACCTTAGGTATGATCATATATTTATTTATTTTAAATAAAATATAATTTTATATTATTTGATTATTATTATTATTTGTAAATGATCCTTTAATTGGTATTAAATAAATATCAGCTTGTTTGGTTTTATTTGTAAAAAATATTTTTAATATTTATTTAAAATATTATTCTAATATTTTAAAAGTGGAAGTCGATTTGAGTCAGAAGGTTTATTAGACCTGGGATTGGCCTTGGAAAATATTACTAATCTTTCAATTTTAGATCTGAATATTGGGTAAGAGCTTAAATTATTTATTTTTTATTTTATAAATTGAATAAATAAAAAAATTTTTTGTTTTATTAATTATGATAAAATATTTTGATTTTATTATGTTTATTAATTTAAAAATTTCTATATTTGATTTATGTAATAATTGTTATTTATAGTTTATAATAAATAATAAAGATATAATTTCTTTGACGATAAAGGGATATAAGAATTAGCACTATGCTTATCCAATTGCAAAAATCTCAAAAACTTAAATCTCAAAATGGAGTAAATATTTTTTTAATTTTATTTAACTTCTGAAATGAATCTTATGTCTTATTAAATGCATTATAATTTTATACTTCACAATTTAATCTTAAAGTTTTAAAGTTAAAATTTGGTAGTCTAACAAACACCATGCTAACTTCCAAATAGTATTAAAAAAATATTAGATTATTAATTTTAATGAATAATTTATATTTTATATTCTTTTTATAAATTATTATATTAATTATTTCCTTCATTTTTTAACAATAAAAATTTTACTTATAAACAGTAATTCATTAGGTTCTTTTATACGTCCTGATAAAATGGGTTTTTGTTTAGCGAAATGTCCTAAACTCTAGATTTTAGCTCTTAGAATTCAGTAAAAATAATTTTCTAATAAAATTAATAATTTTTTTTCAAACACTTTTTTAAATTTTAGAAATGATGCAGCTAAAATTAATTTTTAATTTCTAAAAATTATCATCAAATTTATTTAAAATTTATTATTTTATTTTATGATTTTTTTTCTTTTATTGATTGAAAAATAATAAATATAACTTATGAGGTTGAGAGTGGACTCAGTGAAGATTCGTAGGAGACTAAATATAAAATTGCTCAAAACTAAAAAATTAGTTTTGAAGCAAATTGATTTCTTAGAAAATCGTATGTTTTTTTGAATGAAACTTTTAAATAAATTAAATACTTAATTTATATATAATTTATATTAAATGTGTTTTAAAATATATAAAAATATATGTCATTTATTTTTTTGTTATTGATTTAAAATTAATGTTTGAGTAAT